GCCGACCCTGAGCTTAGCAATCCATTCCTTATACAGCACCTTACCAACACTCCCCTATATAGGGTTTCTGAGACAATAAATCTTTTATAGGGGTTTAGCTTAATTAAAGTCATAAATGAATGTCTGACTCAGGCATTAGGTCTCTGAAGCATTCTCTAAACCCAAAAAGGGAGAATGACAAGACTTCACCTCATGTACCTGGAGAAGGACACCATTGCTCAGTAAAATAGAGGGTCTGTGGGAAAAGAGTAAGACCCTTAATGAGATGGATCGGCACAGTGGCTGCGACAAATGGTTCAAACAGAGGAAAGATCGTGAGACTAGCACAAGACCGAGCAGTGTTTTCGTTCTGTTTTACATAGTGTGGCTATGAACTGGAACCAACTTCAAACAATTACCACACCAAACAAAACAAAACCAAAGAAACAAACCCTTAGAAGACTATGAGTAGATTCCAGCTCATAATAACCCTATTTGTTGTTGTTAAGTGCTGTTCAGTAGGTACCGACTCATAGCGACCCTATCTAGGATTTTATAAGCTGTAAATCTTTGTGGGAGCAGAAATCTTCATCTTTCTCCAGCAGAGCAGCTGGTGGACTCGAACCACCAATCCTGTGGTTCACAGTCCAGTGTTTATCATACAGAGCCCCCTTGCTCCCATAGCAACACTGTTGTTGTTGTTAAGTACCGTGGAGTCGATTCTGACTCATAATGACCCTGCACAGGGTTTCCGAGGCTGTAAACCTTTACGGGAGCAGAAAGCCTCATCTTTCTCCTGCGGAACAGCTGGGAGTTTCAAACTATGTTGTTGTTGTTGTCAGGTGCCACCGAGTCAGAACCGACTCATAGCGACCCCATGCACAGCAGAACGAAACAATGTCCGATCCTGGGCCAACCTCACTATCGCTGCCACACTTGAGTCCATCAATGATGCCACCTGGCTGATCCATCTCGTTGGAGGTCTTCCTCTTTTTCTCTGACCCTCCACCTTACCCAGCATGACATCCTTCGCCAGCGACTGTTTCCTCCGGACAATATGTCCAAAGTATGAGAGACGAAGCTTAGCCATCCTGGCCTCCAAGGAGCACTCTGGCTGCACTTCTTCCAAAACAGATCTATTGGTTCTTTTGGCAGTCCATGGCACTTTCAGTATTCTCCTCCAACACCACAACTCAAAGGCATCAAATCTTCCTTATTCACTGTCCAGCTTTCGTATCCATATGAGGCTATTGAAAACACCATAGCCTGGGTCAGGCGCACCTTAGTCCTCAAGCTGACATCTCTGCTCTTCAATACTTTAAAAAGTTCCTGTGCAGCAGATTTGCCCAGTGCAATACGTCGTCTGATCTCTTGACTGCTGCTTCCACGAGTGTTGATAGTTGATCCAAGAAGAATGAAGTCCTTGACAACTTCAATCTTTTCTCCATTGATAAGAATGTTGTTTATTGGTCCAGTGGTGAGGATTTTTGTTTTCTTGACATTGAGATGCAATCCATATCGAAGGCTGTGCTCTTTGATCTTCATAAGTTAATGTTTCAAGTCCTCTTCACTTTCAGCAAGCAAGGTTGTATCATTTGCATATCGCAGGTTGTTAATGAGTCTTCCTCCAATCCTGATGCCACGTTTTTCTTCATAGAACCCAGCTTCTCATTTTATTTATTTGCTCAGCATACAGGTTGAATAAGTATGGTGAAAGAATACAACCCTGTCGCACACCTTTCCCAATTTTAAAACATTCAGTGTTCCCATGTTCTGTTCGAACAACTGCTTCTTGGTCTAGGTACAGATTTCTCAGAAGTACAATTAAGTGTTCTGGAATACTCATACTTCTCAAACTATAAGACAGAGTAAAACTGCCCTATAGGGTTTCCAAGGCTGTAACCTTCATGGAACCAGATTGCCACATTTTTTTCCTTTGGAGAAGCTAATGGGTTTGAACCACTAATCTTTCGGTTACCAAGTAAGCACGGATCCACTGTACCACCAGGGCTCCTTTAAAGAACTATTTGGGACCAAACGGACAGCAACAGCTCCAAAAGGCTAGACAGGAAACCTAGGGAGTTGTGAGTTGATGTGAGTGGAGGAAGACCAACTCGGAACAGGAAGGTGGGAATGGTTGTCAACTTGAAGAATATAATCAATGTCTCTGAATTATACCTGTGGAAATTACTGAATTGGTGTATGATTTGCTGTGTATAACTTCAACAACTATAAAGAAAATAATAATATGAAATGTTAGCTGGACATTTCCTTGGGTGATACAATTTGGAGGAATGGTTTCTAACATTCTTTTAACCTGTCTTCAATGACTATTTCATAGACCAAAGCCAAAACTTGAAAGATAAAATTTATTTTCCTTCTTTTAAAGAAAAGAACAAAGTGAGGGACTGTTTACAGAAATGAGAGAGTTCGAATATATCAATGTTGCCAGAAATTAAGGGAACCTGGAAGGTCACTATGAGTCAGGATCTACTTGATAATAGTGGCTTTGGCTTGGTTTTTCAGGTGTTGCTGCTGTTAAAGTGTTCAGCTGCCATACAAAAGGTTGCCAGTTCAAATCCATCAGCCGCTCAGTGGGGAAAAGACTAGCTTTGGAAACTCGATGGAGCAATTCTGCTCTCTGGGTCATAATGAGTAGGAATCAACTCGATGTCAGTAAGTTTGTTTTCAGGGGTTACCAGAAATTATCATCAGTCCACTCCACTGTGAAAACAGAAAACTTTGCTATTCCTGTTGGCATTTCCTAAGAGGGGGAGGAGTTGTTTGGCAGATAAACAATGTTCAAACCAACAGCAAATTCCGTCAATAGTCAAGAGGCAACAGCTCTACCAGCAGGCTGTGTTGGAACCCACTGGCTTCTTCCTGCTCTTCAGACAGGTAATCAATACGCCTTAGATGTCAGGGCAAAGGAAGCTATGTTTCTGGGTGGTTAGAGACTGTGGGGGTAGCAGGGGGCCCGCGGGGTTTGTAGAGAGCTGGACTGTGGTTATTCTATGCTTGAATCATGCTGCCATCTAAGACAATTCCTCTCTCTGGGTCTGGGTGTTGATACCTGCAAGTGTTCCTTTTTGCTTCTGACACTTACGGAATCTAAAGTTGGTGGAGAAGGTGGTCTCTGTCCTGCTACTCAGGTATCCCTGTCCCCACTCTGCCCCTCACTACCTCCCTCCTGGATTTGAGAGGGAGGGTGGGGGAGATCTGTGCAGTTCCTCACCTGGCCCCAGGTGCTACTCTCAAAACTCCTTGTAGCTTATTATTAGTGCAGCAGGTTCCTCCGGGGGTGACATTGCCCCCCATGATTTCAGGGTCTCCCTGTGGTGTTCCTCCACTCCACTTCTGGTCCCTGGGTGGGCAGACAGGCTCCATCTCTGTCCAGTCACAAAGAAAGAATCCAGAATGTTGGGAAACTGTCCGCCTCCAACTTGCAGGAATAGACAAGCCCTTCTGTCCTGAAAATTACTTTCCCATAAAAAAAATGCTTAACTTTTTCCAAAGCAATGGTTGAGTCAGAAACCCAGCCATGAACATAGACAAATAGATGAGACAATGGGTTGCCTCTGTCCCTGGCCTTGACCAAAGGAATCCTCTTGACCTGTTGATGGAAATTCATTCCTAAATTCCCTACCCACCACCTTCTCCTGTCTGTTTCTCTCTCTCAAGTGTCCTTCTTCTTCCCTTCCTTTGCCATCCCCTCTTCTCCCCTTGTTTCCCCAACTCCATTCTCCTGTCCTTTTCTTCTCTGACCCTTCTTTCTCTTCCTCTTTGCTCCACTCCTTTCTTGTCTCCACCTCCCAAGCTGCCCCTTGGCTCCTGGGATTCTGAACTGAGTTGGCAGAAGAGGAGGTACAGATCAAGAACTCAGTCCTCTCTCAGGCTCTTGTCCCACAGCTCTCCAGCCTGCCACCAAGGAGCCCGTCTGTCATGTGTGTCCTCTAAGCCACTCCACAGCGTTGACAGCAACAGGAACTGAGGCCATACGGAGACCCCAGGCCAGGCCTGTTGAACTCTGAAGCCCCCTTGCTTTTCCTCCACCAGGAGGACTTTGGTAAAAATAAATCAAAAGCACTAAAACCGTTGCCCTTGACTCAAGCCCGGCTCATGGTGACTCCAAGTGTGTCAGAGTAGAACTGCACTCCGGAGGGTTTTCATGGATGTGAAATTTGGACATTAGACCACCAGAGACTCCTAGGATGTAAATGCCTGATAGGAAGGAGCTGGAAGGGAAGTCCTGCCTTCTTTTGGTCTGTTGCTGTTAAGTGCCCTCAAGTCAGTTCCAACTCATAATGTATAAGGTTTCCAAGGAACGGCTGGTGAATTTGAACTGCTGACCTTGTGATTCAACCCCCCTTTCAGTCCAGTGCTTTATCCTACAGTGCCATACCAGTACCCCTGTGGGTCAACCTTTATCAAGGGCAGCCCATGTTCCAGATGCTATCTGCTCTCCATTGATCCTCAGAATAAGCAGGAACCAAACAGTCGGTCCCTACCTCAGGTCCCACAGCTTGCAGCTGAGGGTCTGCAGGGTCCAAAGTCTATCTGTCTGGGTGCTTGCTCCTTCATGGATTCTTCTTCAGGAACAGCGGAAACTTCTGAGATCCACCCCCACTAGGAGTGGAGGGGAGGAATTATTCTGATCAGGCAGTTCCTCACAGCAGCCTTAGCAAGGAAACCTAGGAATCAGGCAAACTCGGCTCTTCCCCTGACTTGCTGAGTGATCTTGGACAAGCTCCTTCTCTTCTTTGTGCTTGATTTCTTCCCTGGGAAAATTGCAATTCATACCTACCTCCAAGGGTTGGAGGGACCATAGAATGTAGTCATGGGTGGTGGGTGCCCAGGAGCACAGCTGGCCAATGGAAGACACAGAGTTGATGAGGGCAACAGAGCAGAAACTGACCCCAGGCCATAGAGAGACAGTATGGAGAGTCCCATAGGTGCTGGGTGGGGACCAGTGCTCCATCTGAACCCCATGACTTAAAGGATCTTTGCTTTCAGAGTTGAGAATGGAGAGCATGCTACCCATCCTAACTCTGGGGCTGTTGGTGACCGGGCTCTGCCCTGTTGTCCTGTGTGACCCGGGCACCATACTCAGCAGGGAGAATCAGACCTTTGAAGACAAGACGACCCATGTAGACAGCAGCAGACTCGCCTCCAGCAACATCGACTTCGCCCTCAGTCTTTATAAGCAGTTGGCTTTGAAGACCCCCAACAAGAATGTCATCTTCTCACCCGTGAGCATCTCCACGGCCTTGGCCTTTGTGTCCTTGGGGGCCCATGGTACCACCCAGACAGAGATTCTTGAAGGCCTGAAGTTCAACCTCACAGAGATCTCTGAGGCCGAAATCCACCAGAGCTTCCAGCACCTTCTGCACCTCCTCAACCAGCCCAGCGACCAGCTGCAATTGAGCATGAGCAACGCCATGTTCCTCCATGAGCATCTGAATCTGCTGGAGAAGTTCAAGGAGGACGCCCAGGCACTGTACGGGGCTGAGGCCTTCAACACCAACTTCCAGGACACCGCCACCACCGAGACACTCATCAACGACTATGTGAAAAAGAAAACCCAAGGCAAAATCGTAGACTTAGTCAGCAACCTTGACCCCCACACAGTGATGATGCTGGTGAACTGCATCTTCTTTAAAGGTGAGTGTGGACTGGGGTTCCGAAGGGAAACAGTCTTTTAGCTCTGAGATAACAGGGCTATTTCTTTGCCGGCTGATCAAACTGTGATGACCCAAACACTGCGAAGCAGGAAGCTGTCAAACTGTGCCCAAACAGCCCAAAGCTGTCAAACAAAGCCCACAGACATTGCTTTCTCTTCAGGGGTGGGGAATGAGGTGTGTGGGGGACATGGACAGGGTGTGCCCAAACACCAGTCTAACTGTAGCTCTAGGAAACAGTTAGTTATTCTAGAACAGTTGATGCTTTTTACCAACCATCCAGTTGATTCTGACTCACAACGACCCATGTGTGAGAGTAGAACTTCTCCGTGGGGTTTGATTAAGCTGTGACCTTTTGGAAGCTGGCCTTTCTTTCTTCTGCAGCACCTCTGGGTGGATTTGAACCAGCAACCTTTCAACTAATAGTTGAGCCCGTAACCATTATCACCATCCAGGGACTCTATCCAAACACAGACCTACTAAGGAATTTCCAGCTAGTTTAGCTGTCCCCTCCTTTCCTGCCTCTTAAGTGGACGCTCATAGGCCCTTTTGAGATTTGTTACTGCTGTTGTTGTTAAGTTATGTCAAGTCAGTTCCAACTCATAGTGACTCTTTGTAGGGCTTCTGAGAAGTGGCTGGTGGGTTTGAACTGCCAACTTTGTGGTTAGCAGTCCAGGACTAATCCTACAGTCACACCAGCGACATTTAGAGGTTGGATGCTTCTAATAATGGGGAAACATGCCAAGGAAGGGTTGCACATTTCCCAGGAGCCCACAGGCCTCTAGCCCCCTAGACAACAACAACAAGTGATCTCTGCTTTTCTCCACTCTCTCCTCTCTGGGACTCCATCGTGTCTCCTAGGTACTTATTTTGCTCATTGCTCCAGTTGAGCCATAAACACAAACCTAGTGCTCTGGTAGCATAGTGGTTACGAATCGGGCTGCGAACCTTAAGGTCAGCGGTTCGAAACTACCAGCCACTCCTCGGGAGAAAGATGAGGCTTTCTACTCCCGTCAAGATCTACACCCTTGGAAGCCCTATACAGGGTCGCTATGGGTCAGAACTGACTTGATGGCACTTAACAACAACAACTTATGTATGATGGGGCCTGGTCAGTCCTGAGGCTATGGTCCTTAGATTAGAAAGTCTTGGTCAAGTGCCCTCGTTCTGCTGTGGTCTCTTTCCACCTAGGTATAGAATCAGCATTTCAGGGATGTGAATTTCTTTTCTCCTATTCTTTCCCTCCCAGTGGTGTCCAGTTGGACCATGGGCACACAGACTCAATTCATCAATTGATTCTAGGTGTTATTGTCAAGTGTCATTGAGTCGATTCCGACCCTTAGCCACCCTGTATAGGGTTTCCAAGGAGCAGCTGGTGAGCTTGAACCACCTACCTTGCAGTTCAAATGGCTTTGCAGTCTGGCGCATTAACCCACAGCACCACACCAGGGCTCCCAATTGATGCTAGAACTACAGAAATGATGTTATGAGAATGGTTCTGGCAGGGAGACCACAGAGTCAAGAAAAGAAGAAAGACTTCCCTGGCAATTGTTTTTCTTTTAGATCCAGGTAGACTTAGAAGGGAAGGGAATTGCAGCAGGGGCACTAGCTCATGCAAAGGCATGGAAAGAGAGCATAGAGTAAGTAAATGTCTGTGACTACAAAAATAGGATCCCAGAGGGAGGGTAGCAGCTGGGGCTGTCGAGTCAAATGGAGCCTAGATCACAAAGGACAACTCTATAATTGTGAGACATTTGAACTTTGTCTAGAGGAACCTATGAGAACAATCCCTTGGACTTCTGTCTCAGTTCTCTCGTGCTGTTACAACAGATACATCACAAGGGAGTGGCTTTCACAAACAGAAATGTACTCTCTCAAAGTTTAAGAGGCTAGAAGTCCAAATTCATGGCACCGGCTCTAGGGAAGGGCTTTGTCTCTCTGTCAGCTCTGGAAGAAGGTCTTGTCTCCATTCAACTCTGAGCATTTCTTGAAGATCTCCATGTGTCTTGGCATCAATCTTCCCCTGGGTATAGGAGGTTCTCAGTGCAGGGACCCTGGACGCAAAGGACACACTTCACTCCCACCTCTTCTTCCTGGATGGTGCTGAGGTTCCCCTCTCTCTTCTGGCTTCCTTTTCCTTTGATCTCTTGTGAGATAAAAAATGATGCAGGTCACATCCCAGGGAAAGTCCCCTTATATGGGATTAGGACAGTGACCTGAATAAGAATGTCACATCCCATCTTAAGCCTGACTCTTTAACACAGAGGTCAGAATTTACAATGCATCACAAATGGAGAATAATCACATCATATCCCGTAATGGGGGCATGATAACACTGTTGCATAAATGCCAAATTGCTTATTACATAGCTGCCAAACCATTAAGAATTATGGCCCGATCAAGGTGATACACATTTAGGGCAGGGAGGAGGACTATTCAATTCATGATAGCTCCCATGAGGGTGCTGGGAGAGAGGGCAAGCCTAGAGTTAGTGGGGAGTTCTATGAAGTGGTTTCCTGAGTTGAGATGAAGGAGCCTGAGCTTCATAGACAGGGATGTTAGGAGATGCTAAGAATCATAATTGGAAAACTCATGATGTGTAGACAGAAATAGAGAAATGTGAATGTTGTGTTGTTAGGTGCCATCAAGTAAGTTCCAACTCAGAGTGACCCTACGTATAGCAGAATGAAACACTTCCTGGTCCTGTCTTTCTCACAATTGTTGCTATATTTGAGCCCATTGCTACTGCCACTGTGCCAAGCCATCTCATTGGGGATCTTCCTCTTTTTTGCTGATCCTCCACTTTGCCAAGCATGATGTCCTTCTCTCCAGGGATTGGTCCCTTCAGATAATATATCTCAAGTCTGAGAGATGAAGTCATTACCATTCTGATTTCTAAGGAGCATTCTGGCTATTCTTCCAACACAGACTTGTTTGTTCTTCTGGCAGTCCGTGGTACTTTTTTTTTTTTATGTTTTATTATGAATTATGTGATAGTTTACACGGGAGAACATTAGTCTTACATTCAACATACATATTGTATATCGTTTCATTGCTATGGTTACAACCCCTTCCATGCATCATCAACCAACCAAAGGGTATACACTACAAGCCTGCCCCCCAGTCGTCAGCACACAGCCCCTCTCCCTCTCTGTGTCTAAAGTCTCCAACTGCTCCATCTCTCCACGTCATCATCTCTGCCTCCATCTCAGGCATCACTGCTTCTCTGGGTAGGGTCCTGCTCTTCGCTCTTCTCCCATGATGGTCCCAGGGACCTCTGTTCCTAGGCTGAAAAGTTAATCATTCTCCTCCTTGCTACAAAACGTTTACCTTTACATTTCCAACCCTCACAAGCAGTCCTGATAACAATTATTCACTATTGTATCACAAGAGACCTATCTGCATTTCATTTCATCAGCCCCGCCTAGACAGATTGTATACTACTCAGTGGAGAGTCTACCTTCCTTCATACCCTCTAAATCTAGGTTCCCTCTTGAAAGCTTGTAAGCCAGTCACTTCTTGCCTTTGTAGCCTCCTGATTTGGGGTAGCCAATGTCCAAATTGCCCATCCCTGTCTACTCTGTGTATGGAGGGATGGAAATGATCCTTGCTGCAAGGATTTGTTTCCTCTTTTGAGCTACTGAATCCATAGGTGTAGGTCACATGCAGATTACTCCTTTTTCCCTCTTTTTTCTTCTAGTCCATGGTACTTTCAATATTCTTCATCAACACCATAATTCAAAGGCACCAATTCTTCTATGGTCTTCCTTACTCATTGTCCCACGTTCACACACAGATGTGAATTGTTGTTGTATTAAGTGCCTTCAACTCTGTATCAACTCATGGCGATCCTGTATAGAGTTTTTCAAGAAGTGATCTGGTGGGTTAAAACTAGCCAGATAGCAGTCCAGTGCTTATCCTACAGAGCCACAGTAAGACTCCACAGATGTGAATAGAATGTTAAAAATCCAGTAGATCCTGGAGCAATTTTAACATGGAAGGTGATCTTCACCCCTCAAAATTCATCCCTCTTTCCACTGTGGCATGCAAGGGAGCCCCAAGAGTCCCCAAAGAACACTTAACTGCCTAGCAAGCCCCCATGATAGAAGGTAAGCCAACTGGAAGAACACCAAAAGAGTTGTGATCGCCTAGATGATATTGGAAGTATACCACGTGACACTTCCCACATGGTGGTCCCAGAAGCCACCTGAGCAGCTGCTGCAGTGAGCAGGGACACCAGTTGAATGAAACCTCTCACTCTGGACAGAGCCTTGACTGAGGTGCCTTTTACAATTAGATATGCCTTCGTCACATGGTGTTGGGAGGTTGCAGGGCTCAGAGAGGCTGAGAAGGGCTGCGTGGGAGGATGTAGAGAGGGCTGCTCTGTAGCCCTAGAAAGCTTGCGGGTAGAAAGGAGTCAAGTAAGCAAATGAGGGACTGGGGAAACTAGTATGGTGATTGGTTGTGTGCCATAGAGTGGATTCCAACTCATAGCAGCCCTGTACCAGATTTCCGAGTCTGGCAATCTTTACAGGAGCTGAAAGCCTTCTCTTTCTCCCAAGGAGCAACTGGTGGATTTGAACTCTGGAACTTGCAGGTATCAAACTTACATATCAATCCAACATGCAACCCACTCCACTGCTATGGCTCATATTATAGACAAAAATAAATAGGAAGCTCCCATTCACTGGGAACTACTGGTTGTTTTCTTGTTTGGTGCCACTAAACTGACTCATAGTAACCCTGTTTAGGATTTCCAAGGAGCAGCTGATGGGTTTGAACTGCTGACCTTGTGATTTGCAGTCCCATGCTGATCTTACAGTACCACATCAGAAGTGTAACTACCCCCTGCTGAATCCTCACAGCAATTTGAAAGGTAGATAGATGGTGGTAACCCCACTTTCAGGGAAGGGGCTTGATGCTCTGAAAGCAAAGTGACTAGCCCCAAAGTACACCTAGTAGATGGAGATTCAAAGTTGACCTGGGTCCATTCCCAAATCCCCTTTTCTTCTTCTATTTAACTGAGGGGAAAAGTGTTGAATACCTCCCAAAGTGAAGAACAGAAACCCACAGTCAAGAGCAGGGTCGACACACTGTTTCTGTAAAAGGTCTGATCATAATTATTTTAGGTTGTGTGGTCCACGTAGGTCTCAATCACAGATTTATTTTTCCACACCCCAACCTTTTAAAAATATCAACACCATTGTTAGCTTTGTTGTTGTTGTTAAGTGCCGTTAAGTCTGTTTCAACTCATAAGTACCCTGCATAGGGTTTCCGAGGAAAGCCTGGTGAATTTGAATCACCAACCTTGCAGTTCAAACTGACCTTGTGGTCCAATGCATTATCCTACAGTGCCAACCAGACAAAAACAAGCCGTGGCTGTATTTGGCTTAGCAGATGTGGCTTGTTGGTACCTTATCTAGAGGAGAAAAATTGTACTGAACTACACACATGCACACTGGACTGGGAACCACAAAAACCCTGTATAGGGTTTCCAAGGAGCAGCTGGTGAGTTTGAACCGCCGATCTTACAGTTGAGTGCTTATCCTATACACCCTGTGTGGGTTTTTTTAAATCCTGCTTGGTGTTCTCCCATCTTCCTGAATCTACATATGGTTCCGTGTCTTTATTTTGAGAAAATTCTCAACCATTATAACTTTGAATATTTCTTCTGCCATGTTTTACATTTCTTCTCCTTTGGTATTCCAATTAAGCATATGTTACACATTTTGAAATTGTCCCATAATTCTTAGATGCTCTATTCTCCTGTGTCAATTGTAGGTTTCTTTTGTGCCTTTGTTTGGGAGTTTCTAGTGATCTAACTTCAAGTTTCCGAATTATTTCTTTGGTTGTATTAACTCTAAGTGATGAGGCCATTAAAGCCATTCTGACTCATGTTGTTGTTGTTATGTGCCATGGAGTCGGTTCTGACTCATAGTGACCCTGTACAGGGTTTCCGAGGCTGTAAATCTTTATGGGAGAAGAAAGCCTCATCTTTCTCCTGCAGCAACCCTATATAGAGTTTCCAAGGAGTGTCTGGTGGGTTTGAACTGCCACCTTATGGTTAGCAGTCCAGTGCTTATTCTACAGTGCCACACCAGGGCTCTGTAGTATTAAATAGGCCTATTGTTGGTGGTGGTGTTAAGTGCTGTCGAGTCTGTTCTGACACATAGCAACCCTGTATAGGGTTTCCAAGGAGCAGCTGGTGGATATGAACTGCTGACCTTGTGGTTCACAGTCCTACAGCGTCACACCAGGACTCTCTGGAGTTACGCCTGTGCGCATCACTTCTAGCATTTTCGTTTGAGTCTTGGAATCTCCATCTTTCTGACTGACTCCATCACCACTCTTGCTTGCTGTCTTTACAATATTGTTGTTGTTGTTGTTAAGTGCTGTGGAGTCAGTTCTGACTCATATTAAGCTAAGTTATTTCCAATTCCTTGTCTGAGAATTCCAACATCTGTGTCCTGTCTGAATCGAGCTTTGATGATCATTTTGTCTCTTCAGACTATGTGATTTCTTGCCTTTTAGCATGTCATTTTTTTTGTTGTTTTTGAAAGTCAGATATGTTGTATCTGGCAATAGGAGCTGCTGTAAATAAATCTTTAGAGTGACGATGTGTGTTCATCTAACAAGGAGTTTGTGTTCAATGTTTGCTGAAGCTAGGGGATTTCTTGGAATTTTGCCTTTGCAAAATTAAAAAACTGGACAAGGTCTTGAGTCAGAATGCTCCTGATTACTTACTTGACTAAGACACCTGATAGGGTCAAGAAGGACCAAGGCTGGCAGGTTGTCATGAGCGAGGATGTAGTTAGAGGTGCTGTGACACGAATAATTTGCAGTGCAGTGGGAGATATCAGAAGGCCAGAAACTGGGGCTAGTCACCCAAGCCCAGCTGCAATGTGGCTGAGGACCAGGCTGAAGTTGGACCCTGAAGAACTGTATCTAATATAGCTTATAGCAGGTCTAGCAGTGAGGGAGACAAGCTCTTAGAGAAAGTGGAAGCAAGAGAACCAGGTTAGTCATCAAAAGAAAATGGCAGAAGAGGGGGAAGAATTTTTCGTGTAAATAAAAAGAAAGAAAATGAGTTTCCTCTCTAGGTCAGTGAAGGGCAGACAGAAGAGAATGTTCGCCAGTGTGAAAGAGCTAGGAGAAGCAAGTAGACTTTCATGGAAGTTCAGTGGAAGACTGAACGTTGTGGAAGGCTGAACTCAGACCTCTGTCTAGAGCAGGAACAGAGCCTAAGACCTCGAACTGAGGTGGGTTGGGAGAGGATTAGAAGGGCTGGAAATTTAGACTAAGTGTCAAGGCTTTCTCTACTGGCTGCAGGACAGAAGCCGTGTGAGTGGCTTGTGGTTTTGTTAAGTGCCCTTAAGTTGGTTCCAACTCATAACAACCCTGTAAAGGGTTTCCAAAGAAGCTCTGGTAGCATAATGGATTATGAGCTGGGCTTCTAGCTGCAAGGTCAGCAGTTCGTATCTACCAGCCACTCCACCAGAGAAAGATGAAGCATTCTGCTCCTGTAAAGATTTACAGCCCCAGAAACTCTATACAGGGTTGCTATGACTCGGAACCAACTTGATGGCACACAACTACCACCATAGGGTTTCCAAGGAGTAGCTGGTGGGTTTGAACCACTGACCTTGCAGTTAGCAGTCCAGTGCTTATCTTCCAGAGCTACACCAGGATCCTTGGGACTGGCAAAGCATGGCTTAAAGGTGCAAGATATCAAGGATGATAGAGCTATTGGATCATCAGTCCAAGAAATTGCCACAATTCCAAGTCCCTCATGACTAGGGATGGAGGTAATGGGGATTGAAGACTCAGGATCCAAGAAGAGTCCTGAGCTGATAACTATAACTGTCTATGGTCCATAGATGTGGACACCACTCAGGTGTCAGCTGAGACCCATCTTGTTCTTTTGGGTTATTAAAGTTGACTAGAACCTCCTTGGGGAAGTAAATGCCCCCATCTCCAAAGATGCCACAGTGACCATGAGCTTTTCTTCTCAAGGTCACTCTGGCTCTGAGTTCAGTCTTCCATGAAAGCCTCCCTGCTCCTTCTAGTTGTTTCGCACTGATGAACATTCTCTTCTGTCTGCCCTTCACCAATCTAGAGAGGAAGCTCATTCTCTCTCTTTTTATTTCTACCAACAATTCTTCTCTAAGTCATTTGGGAGGGGACCAGGAGGGTTGTGGTATCAGAGGAGTGATTGTATGTTTACACACCTGCAATCCCTCTAAGTGGTCATTAGACATTGTTCTTGAAAGGCTATGCCACTTATGCATTGAAGAATTTCTCCGTTTCCTACCAGGATCCAGGCTCTCACAGAGTTTTTCTCCTTTTCCTCTCCCAACCTTCATCTCTCCTTTGCATTCCCTAGTCCCAGACCCCTGTTGGTTTCTTAGTTAGCACAATTAGCCACCAACACCACCATCCCCCACCCACTCACCCACAACTTATATACTTTCCAGGATATCTTTTCAAATTGAGATAGTCCAATCCTACAAAGAACTCTGGAGAGGCTGATGGTGTGTTTAGTGCATTCCATGTTCAGGAGAGTGAGCAGAGATGGGGTAAGGGGTACAGCAGTTCTTACGCTCACCCTGTTCTCTAACTGCTTCCTCCCCAACATTTAGCCAAATGGCAGAGCCCTTTTGATCCTCAAGATACATACAAGTCCAAGTTCCGTGTGAGCAAGAGAAAAACCGTGAACATTCCCATGATGAACATCGAGGATTTGACCACACCTTACTTCCGGGATGAGGAGCTCTCCTGCACCGTGGTAGAACTGAAATACACTGGCAATGCCAGCGCACTCTTCATTCTTCCCGATGAGGGCAAAATGGAGGAAGTGGAAGCCATGCTGCTCCCGGAAACACTGACAAGGTGGAGACAGTCACTCCAACCCAGGTGACTATCCCCAGGACCCTGAACTTCATGGGGGCTGCTCACTTTCATTCCCAGCCCACCCCTACTCTTCCTCCACTCTTCATCTCCCCAAAATTCTGCATAGAACCATCTCAGGACGTCTGAGATGTAGAATCTCTCTATGTCCAAGGCATGCGATTGGAGAGATGGAAGAACCTATAACTGAGGAAGGTAGAATTATGGGCTGACTTTGTCCTTTAGTAGCTGTTTCTTTCAGCCTGCATTTATTCCTCTGTAAGATGATAATGCCAGAGTCAACAAGGGGCTGAGGCTTCTTATAACTCTAACAAGCAGTAAGTCGTTCAGAATCTTCAATGTAATCCCCACCACTCACCCATTATGTTCTCTTTGCTTCAGCCTCTTAGGGGCAGAGGGGAACAGAAGGAATTGTGCTCATTTGAGGGCTGAGACAAGATGGGTTCTGAGAATCTGTGATGCACTAGCTAACGATTGTGTTCATTTGTTCAGTCACTCGTTCAACAAACATTCATTGAGTACCTACTATGTGCCAGGCCCTGAGGATATACAGTGAATACAACACAAAGTTCTCAGCCTTTGATGACATTTATTTGTTATCCAGGGTAGAGAAACAAATACATAGATTATTTGGTATGTGGGAAAGCAATAAGTACAATGGGGGTAGGGGGAGCAGAGAGACTAAAGCAGTAAAAGGATCAGGAGAACTGAACTGGAAGTTAGTTTGTATATGCAAATAAAGTGGTCGTTTATGTGACACGTGAGTTACCACATGACAGAATGGAGGGATCGAATCATGTAGCTACCCAGGGGAAAAAACATTCCTAGAAAAAGGAACAGACTATTCAAAGCCTCTGAGGTGGGAGCAAGCCTGGAATGTTCAAAGAGACATGAGGAGACCACTGTGTGTGGATTAGTACCTGAGAGAGGTAGGGGGTCCCAAGGGGTGGGGCGGGATGCATAGGGCATATTTGTTGCTGTTGTTGCTAAGTGTCATGGAGTCATTGGACCTAGAGTCACCCTGTATTGAGTTCCCTAGGAGTGGCTGCTGGGTATGAACCTCCGATCTTGTGGGTAGCAGTCCAGTCTTCATCCTATAGCATCATACCAGGATTCCATGAGCATGTCAGCTCCTAGGAAACCTTGGCTATATCTGAGTGAAATGGAATCAGTATAGGGTTCTGAGCTCGGGAGTGTTGTGGTCTGAGTACGTCTTAAAAGGATCACCCTGCTGTTGAGAGAAGAGTGAATTGTGGGGGCAACTGTGGACAGGGAAAGCCAGCTGGGAGCCTAGTGATGCCATCCAAGTGACCACACCACCATGTGCCTGAAATGAGGGAAGAGCAGAGGTAGGAGAAATATGGACATAAAAGGTCAGCTGGGAGTCTAGTGCTACCATCCAAGTGACTGCCATGTGCCTGAAATGAGACAAGAGCAGAGGAAGGAGAAGTGATGCGTTCTAGATAAATTTGAAGGTAGGACATGAGATTCAGGTCACCAATACTAAGGGGATAAGCAAGCCAGAGCAATAGATTCCTTCTGTAGGCTTTGAGGGAAATCTGTCTCCTGCCTCTCTCCTAAGTTTCCATTATTTTCTGACATTCCTTGGCTCATAGACATATCACTCTAATTTCTGCCTCTATCTTTTTATCTTCTTCCTTGTGTGTGTCTACCAATGTCTCTGTGTCTCTAAAGATCCCTTTCCTCCTATGGATGTGACTTATTGGATTTATGCTCCACCCTAATCCAATATGGCCTCATCTTGACTTGTCACATCTATAAAGACCCTATTTCCTAATAAGGTCATACATATTCACAGGTGCTATGCTTATGTTTTCAGCAAACTTAGCACAAACACAGTTTAACCCAGAGCAGGCAAATTAATAATACATGAATTAAGAAGATTGTGCTCAACAAAGGAAATAAAAAGGATAATAACAGAATACTATGAAGAGCTGTACTCCAACAAATTTATAAGAAATGGATATATTTTTAGAAAAACATGTCCTATCTAAACTAAACTTACACAAAGTGAAGTAGAAAACTAGAACAGACCCATAACAAAAGAAGAAATTGATCAGGTCATCATAAAACTCCCAACCAAAAGAAGTCCAGGTCCAGATGGCTTCACTGGTGAGTTCTACCAGAAGAGGAAGAGCTGTCACCAATTCTACTCAAATTATTCCAGAATATAGAGAAGGATGGAAACCTTCCTAATACATTTATGAAGCAAGCATAACCCTTATACCAAAACCAGGGAAGGACGTCACAAAGAAAGAAAATTATAGACCAATATCCTTCATGAACACAGATACAAAAATTCTCAACAAAATCCAAGCAAACAGAATCCAACAGCACATCAAAAAAATAATACATCATGACCAAGTGGGATTCATATCAAGGATGCAAGGATGGTTCAACATTAGAAAAATAATCAGTGTAATCCACCATATAAATAAGAAAAAGGAAAAGTACCACATGATCATATCGATGGATGCAGAAAAGGCATTTGACAAAATCCAATATCTATTCCTGATAAAAACACTCAACAAAGTAGGAATTGAAGGGAAATTCCTCAACATAATTAAGAGTATATGTACAAAACCAACAGCCTACATTATTCTCAATGGAGAGAAACTGAAAGCCTTCCCTCTGCTTGGAAGGGAAACAGACAAGGATGCCCTTTGTCACCACTCCTTTTCAATATTGATTTGGAAGTCTTAGCCAGAGCTATACAGCAAGATAGGGAAATTAAAGGCATCCAAATTGGCAAAGAGGAAATAAAACTCTATTTGCAAAAATTCAGTAAAAAAGCTACTAGACCTCATTGGCAGATTCAGCAAAGTGGCAGGGTATAAGATCAACATACAAAAATCAGTTGGATTTCTCTATAGTAACAATGACAGCAGTGAAAAGGACATTAGGAAAGCAATGCCATTTACAATAGCTGCCCAAAGGATGAAATATCTAGTAATAAATGTAATCAGAAAAACAAAGGACCTATACAAAGAAAACTACAAAACACTACTACAAGAAACCAAAAGAGACTTACAAAAATGGAAGAATGTACCATGCTCCTGGATAGGAAGACTTAACATTGTGAAAATGTCAATACTGCCCAAAGCAATTTACACATATAATGCAATCCCCCTCCAGATTCCAATGAAATTCTTCAAAGAGATGAAAAAAAAAAAACAATTACAAACTTTATATGGAAAAAAAAGAGACCCAGGATAAGCAAAGCACGGCTTAAAAAGAAGAATAAAGTTGGACGCCTCTCACTCCCTGATTTCAAATTTTACTACATGGCTACAATGGTCAAAACAGCTTGGTACTTGTATAGTGCCACAACTCATCTGTCAGTTTGTCGTACTGTGGTGGCTTGTGAGTTGCTGTGACTCTGGAAGCTATGCCACCAGTATTTTAAACACCAGCAGAATCACCCATGGTGGACAGGTTTCAGATGAGCTTCCAGATGAAGACAGACTAGGAAGAAGGAGTGACGAACTACTTCCAAATACTTAGTCACTGAAAGCCAAATGAATAGCAGAGAAACACTGTCAGATATAGTGTCAGAAAGTGAGCCTCAGGTTGGAAGTCACTCAGCATGTGACTGGGGAAGAGCTGCCTCCTCAAAGCAGAGTTGACAGTGATGATGCAAATGGAGTAAAACCTGTGGGAGTAATGACCTCGGGACTTTCATTTGCTGATGGGGAACAACTCAAAATTAAAAGAAACAGCTGTAATCATCCATTAATAATTGGAACATGAAATGCATGAAGGATGAATCTAGGATAATTCAAAATTGTCAAAAATGAAATGGAATGCATAACCATCGATATCTTAGGCATTAGTGAGCTGAAATGGACTGGTATTGGCCATTTTGAATCTGACAACCACATGGTTTACTATGTCAAGAATGACAAACTGAAGAGGAATGGTGTTGCATTCGTTGCCAAAAAGAACATATCCAGATCAATAATGAGGTACAACGTTGTCTGTGATAGGATAATATCCATATGCCTTCAGTATGGATTACATCTCAATGTAAAGAAAACAAAAATCCTCACCACTGGACCAATAAACAACATTCTTATCAATGGAGAGAAGATTGAAGTTGTCAAGGACTTCATTCTTCTTG